AGGGGGACGTTACAGAAAGTTGTGTTGCACAGACTTATGGCGCTTTTCCACTGCATGGTACGGCACGTTATGGCTCGCTTTTGGGGGGGTTTTCCACTGTGTACAGTACCTGGTACTTTTTTCAGTACCACCTTGGTTGAGGTTCCAAGCGAGCCGTACTAATAATTGGCAGGAGAGAATCGCCACTACCTGCGTCATTAAACTTGCAACACGAGACACTAGACCCGCTAGATTAAATCAGCACAGCCAGCGAGGATCGAACGCGTTTACGATGATGTCACAGCAGTAGAGACACCAACTATAACGACATGTCTATAATCCCGCCCACTCTAAAGCAGTACTAAACTGCAGTGGAAACACAAACCGAGCCGAGCCGGTCAGTCGTAGCAGTTTCTGTGATTTGGCTCTTATTATTAATATTAAAATTAATAAGAAGAGCCAAATCACGGAAACTGCTACGACTGGCCATTTTAACATCAGCGTCATGTAAGATACTTGTCTAGATTTCCCTGCTCACTTACGTGGGTTTATTATAAGCAGCCACTTCTATAAAGTCATGTGAAGTTTATTTAAATAATGTTTTTATAATAAATTAAAATGATACTAATACATATTTCATTGGACACAAACGTTTTATGTGATGCACGCAACCACATCACATCTAGAAAACACTTGTTTTTGTCCCGTCCGAATTGGTACATGAAATCACAGACGTCGGGTGATAAGAATTGAAACTCAAATGTAGTTTAGAAAACATTGTCCTGTCCGAATAGGGTTTTAGATTTGATCTTTTTTTCAACTTGTTTTCTTTCAACGAGCACAGGTTTTGTTTTCTTTTTGGAACTGACTGATCGTAGGCCTCATTTATCTGAGCTTCTGCACCTCAGTATGGAATGAAAAAAAGCATTACATGTGGGTAATTTTGTTCACTCAAAAACTGAGGTGCATAAACTCAATGATCAATCAGTTCCAAAAAGAAATACAAAACCTGTTAATTTAAGGAAAAAAAGTTGACAAAAAAATTAAATACAGTGTTTGGTAATATTATAGTGTAAAGAGAAATTTATAAGCAATTTTTATAGGCTGATCGTTTTTGACTTGGAACATCACAAGTGTAACAAGGTGGGAAAAACATTCCAAAAAAGTACAAACATTATCTATCTGTTATACCCTTTGTGAGCAAAGTCAGTAAGTCCACTGCAATAACATTAAGTAGAATTTTCGGGAGAAAGAAAATCCTCTACTGGTCAAAATGTCCAGAACACAACAAGAAGGTTAAATAGTTCACCCAAAAATATTATACTCCCCAAATATTATACACCCAAAAATCATTTACTCACTCTCATGTTGTTCTAAACCAGTATGACTAAAAAATGATTTGGCAGACAATGGGGACCAGAAACTGTTTTGTTACCAACATTCTTAAAAATTGTTTTCATTAATTGTGCTCACCTTTCACAGAAAGAGTCCCGTCGCCACAAGCAGAAACAGAAGCACCGTGATCGTTTGAGACACAGCGAGAGGGGAGATGGCAGACACGGAGGAGACATGCAACAGTGTCTGGGGCCGAACTGTATCGAGTCAGCACGTCCAAGCTCAAAGTACTGCTCTGAGGACTGTGGCATGAAGCTGGCTGCCAAGTAGGTTATTTCATTAAGTGCAGCCAACCAGCATGGAAGAGTCACGCAATGTTATACCAGTTTAATGTGTTTTAAGAAGATCGTATTGATTTATTGATCTGCCGATCTGTGCAGCCGGATCTACGAGATCCTCCCGCAGCGCATCCAGCAGTGGCAGCAGAGCCCCTGCATCGCTGAGGAACAGGGCAAAAAACAGCTGGAGCGCATCCGCAGGGAGCAGCAGGCCGCACGGATGCGCCTCGCCGAGATGGAGCGCCGTTTCCACGAACTCGAGGGCATCATTGCCAAAGCCAAGCAGCAGGTGGTCCAACAGGATGAGGATGTGAGTTTCCAGCAATACTTTCTCATGCTAATGTCATTGAATTTTATAGAATAACTGGATGGAATGTATGTGTTTCAGGGATTTTGTCAGGCTTATTAGGGAAAGCTAGCTAATGTCCTGTCTTGCAGGTGAATGAAACGGACAGTGAGGACACAGACCTTCAGATCTTCTGTGTGTCCTGCAGTCACCCCATCAACCCCAAAGTGGCGCTGAGGCATATGGAGAGATGTTATGCCAAGGTGAATGTTTTGTTTTCTGAGCCTATTTATTGATCACTGATTTAGTGAATGAAACTAAATGTATTTGTATTATACTAATGCTTGATTTGATGTTTTAACAGTATGAAAGTCAGACCTCTTTTGGTTCCATTTTCCCAACCAGAATAGAAGGGTAAGAGGGGTATATTTTAAACATTACTATACAGTACAGCAGTTTTTTTGTTTGAATTACCCTGAATATCCTTTGTTTTCTTGTTATACTTTCTCTACTTTCTTTATGGGTGGTCAGTTTGACCAACATTTTACATGGTGTATATACTACAATAGTTTTTTTGTTTTGTTTTTTTTTGTTGCTTTTTTTTTGGAATTTCAAGTTTTTTTTTTTTTCTTCTTCTTTCATTTTTATTATTATTTTATAATAACTGTGATGACTAATTTTTGATATATACAGTGAATTAAATACTTCACAAGTGGTATTTCATCTCATTTGATTGTTTTCTCTTTTTATTTGGCAACTCAAAAAACTCAAAACAAAAAAAAATTTATATTATTTTTTAAAATATAAGATATTTAATTTTTTTTCTCTTCTAACAGGGCGACAAGACTCTTCTGTGACGTTTACAATGCTCAGAGTAAAACATACTGCAAGAGACTTCAAGTTTTATGTCCAGAACATTCCAGAGATCCAAAGGTGAGAGTTTAGTGATAGTCTCTCAGTATTTCTGCACAAACTAAGGGTACATTTACACAACCTTTGCCATTTTTAAGTTTTGTGTACAGCTGACAACGTTGTCAAAACGATTCCCATTCACATGGATCCACGAAAAGGACTAAAAAGGCTGTATTATGCATACCAGACCAGTAGTTGGTGATGCTACTTTGTAAAGAAACTCTGTTCACCTGCACACATATGCATTCCTTTTGACTGAACACGTAATACTGTTTTTACAAATTCGTGTTTTTGTAGTTTACACGGAAAAGCTATTTTCAAAAGCTTGCACTTAGAAAATTTTTTTTTTTTTCAAAAGTTTTGAAAAAAAGTCAGCGTTTTCAGGCCCCCAAAACGCTGTTGTCATGTAAATGAATGGCCAAAATGCATAAAAAGTTTTGTTCTTAGTTGAAAATGGTGTTGTGTAAACACCCCCTAAACCAGGGTTTTTCAAACTTGTATGGCTTTCTCATCTAACACGCCTCATCAGCTCATTAGCGGAGACTGCAAGACCTGAATTGGATGTGTCCATACAAAACGTGCAGTGCTGGGGAGCCTCCAGGATAAGTTTGAAAAACCCCTGAACTTGCTAACCGTGTCTTCAGACATCTCTTCATGACAGGATTTATGTTCAGTAAATCTCTTTTCTGTTTTTCTCTTCTCAGGTCGCAGCAGATGAGGTGTGTGGATGTCCACTAGTGCGTAATGTGTTTGAGCCGACTGGAGAGTATTGCAGGGTCTCGAAACGCAAGTGCAACAAGCATTACTGCTGGGAGAAGCTCAGACGGGCGGAGGTGGACCTGGAGCGCGTCAGAGTGGTCAGTCAAGTTCTTCAAAACGTATTGCCATAGTAGTCTTAATTTATATTTATATACCTCATATTTCCCCCTCCCAACAGTGGTACAAGCTGGATGAGTTGTTTGAACAAGAACGCAATGTGAGGACGGCCATGACCAACAGAGCAGGACTCCTGGCCCTCATGCTCCACCAGACCATTCAGCATGACCCACTGACCACTGACCTCCGCAGCAACAAAGACAGATAGCCGTGTCAAAAATCAGTGCTGACTTGAAAAATTATTTGTTTATATTTGTATACTTTTCATATTGTATATTTGTCATTGTTTGGATGAAGTCATTCTTATTAAAACACGCTCATCATGTGTCTCCTTCAATCTGCATGTATTAATTTTACTTTACATTTTGCTGTTCAAATTATTTAATTATGGAATTGAAACACAAATTTTTGTTGTGATCCTCAGATGTCTTGCTTTGTTTTAGTTCTTTTTATTTTAACTACATTGATATATAAGAAAGTATGATTACAAGAACTTTGTCTTGGTATAAGAAGCTTCCAGTACACAGACAAAAAAAAATAAAAATAAGACATATAAAAATACACAATAGAAATTATTTTTTGTTTTGTTTTTGATGATGACCGATGACAAATTACCACAGTTTGAGGATAAAAGTATATTGGACAAATCTATAGTTGACTTGTCAAATTTTTATAAAGTGCCTTTTTATGATCACGTCTAGGTATTTATAGCGGTTTTTCAATATATACATACAGTGGGATCTATATATCATACATACAGTAGGAAGTCTGAAAAATGAAATGAATACATTTTAATATTCAATACTAGTTATGAAAAGCAAAATCTACCAAACGAAATTCAGAGAATCGTGTTACTTTTTCAACTTTTTACTCAAATGTTTACGCTAATAAAGTAATTTGTAATCAGATATTTTTATTAATAAATTTTATATTTGCTATATTGTTAAATCTCTAAAGACCTGTCGTGTAGCAGTACAACGGAACAAAAATGTAAACGTTATATCAAGCTACGCGACAACGATCCAGCTTTGTGTGACGTGAGCAGGGAGCTTTAATTTATTCAGAATGCTTGAGTCACGTGCTTCCGGGTTACAACAATACTTCCGGTCCCTCTCCTGTTTCAGTATTTAAAATATATCAATGTGTGGTTTGTTAAGGGGTTTACAGGTAGGTTTTTAAAAATGGCGAGGTCGTGTTCATGACTTTATTTTAACAGGACCGTTAAAAACAGCAAACTGTCTCGGTAAATCTCAATAATTGTGTTATTTACTATCATTTTTACGCTTGCTAACACTTTAGCTACTACGCTAAGTATTGTCGCTAATACGTGTTAGGCTGTGTCTCAAAACCTTGTGTGCTGACTACCTAGACAGCATTTTCTGCATCAAAAGTCGTGGTTTAATAGATAAAGCGTTTGGTCTTTATAGGGAGAGCAACAATAGGCAGAAAGCTTACTGTTGTACTCAGTTGCAGCTGTCTAAACTGAATGCATAACATATTGCAAAGAGAGTATTCAGATAATTCAGCTTTATTAAGATGAAAGAGCTTCAGATAGACAAAAAGTAGATGATTCACATTGCAGAAAGGCAGAAGAGCTAAGCAAGGATTGTTTGCTGCTTGAAACACTATCTGAGTGTAGCTCCACTATTGCATATTTCCTTTTTGCAGCTGAAATAAGAACAGGGAGGCTTTACTAACATGGAAACAGAGAAAGTAGCAGCCGAGGTACCTGCAGAACCAACAACCGAAGTCAAAGATGCAAATACAGAGGAAAGCAAAGAGTCCACAGCAAGCACAGACATTCAGGACCATGTCACAGAAGAAAACAAAGAGGGAGCTGTAACCGAGAAGGAAGGTGAGCCTTCCAAAGACGTCGACAAACCACCTTGTGACTGGTTGGAGCCACTCGAAGAAGACTGTGATGATGTTGATTCCCCGAGTGTTGATGGAGAATTAGAGAGCCTTGCGGGGAGTGAATGGAGTGGGAGTGTGGTTAGTATTAGGAAAAACACTGGAGAAAGAGGTGGCAGAGGTGTTGGGTATGTACATGACCTGGATTCTACTAACTAGACACCTCACAGCAAACTTTTATTTATGAGTTGTAGAAAATTAATACTTTTTCCTTTTATGCACTTCACTACTTTAAGCTAAAACAGATGTGTATTTTTTTTTTTTCGTCTAGGAGACCTAGAAGGAGAATGCAATTTGAGGCAGATGAAGGCTGGGAAGATTGTCCATCGTTAGGGGAAGGATGGAAACGCAAACAGGTTTTTCGTCGATCAGGCACCAGTGAAGGACGCAGTGATACATACTATATGAGGTATCTTGAGTTTGTTTTTTTCATCTGAACAGATTTGGACAAATTTAGCATTACAGCACTTGCTGACTTATAGATCCTCTGCAGTTGAATGGGTGCCGTCAGAATGAGAGTTCAAATAGCTGATAAAACATCTCGGTAATCAAGTTCATCAATTAATGCCTTGTGAAGTTAAAAGCTGCATGTTTGTAAGGCATTTTAACTTTAAACTGTCACTTGTGGCCAAAATATGAGTCTATAATAACGCTATCTCCAGTGAAAAAGTCCGCTTTTGTCCTTTCACATCAAAATCTACCGACATATTTGTTTACAGCTGTTTTGGACTGTTTGCTTGGTCTGTGCATCTTTCGCTCCTGATTAAGACTTTTCTTCTGGCTTTTTTCACTGTAAAAAGCAATATTATGAATAGAGGACTCGTATTTTAGCCAGAAGCAATGGTTTGAAGTTAAAAATGTCTTGATGGATTTGTTTATTACAAACAAGCAGCTTTTCACTTCACAAGACATAAATTGATGCAGTCGTGTGGATTGTGATGTTTTTAATCAGCTGTTTGGACTCTCATTCTGATGGCACCCATTCACTGCAGAGGATCCATTGCTGAGCAAATGATGTAATGCTAAAGCATTACTTTGTGGGACTTTCATCTTGCATAACTCATTAATTTTATTTTTTTCCTTTCAGTCCAAGAGGTCATAAAGTAAGAAGTAGGGTTGAGCTTGTGAAACATGTAAACCAATCTGTGGACCTCACAAATTTTAATTTTAAAACGGGCCAGTTTCTTGGTGAAGGGCTTCAAAGGAGAAAGGTGAGGAGATGTTCAGCATGTTCTTTTCAATTTTTTGTTCACTTTCTTCACATTTCCCACTAATTCCTACATTCTGGTATCCATAGAGAAGGAAACTGGATTCTCCACAGGCACACTTTTCTGTACCCGGTTTTCCAAATGAATTAGCTGATACAGGTGGTGCAGCCGGCAATCCAGGATCTTCAGCTAGTCTCAGCTATGGTACAGTTCCGAAGTTGAGCTCATATTCGATCCAAAAGGGTGCCAATACAGTGACCACGCCAAAATGCAGTACCTATACTGGTCCTGAGACAAATACCGCTTTACCAAGTACCGCCACTCACCCTATTGTTGATTTGATTGAAGATTCTGCCAATTCAAATCCTCCTCCTTTGGGCAGTTCAGTGTCTGCGGCCCCAAATAGGCCCGTCAATGGTGCCAGTGGAGATCTACAAAAAATGTTTGGGTAGGCAGTGCCCTTTCTTTTTTTTTTTTACACTATAGCCTAAATGTCAAAAACAGTGGTGTGAATGTCTTTCTTCACTGTTCCTTTTGTTTGTAATCAGTGTCTGTGAAAAATGTCATAAAACCTATACTTTTGAAGAGGGACAAACTATGTGCCAGAATTGCAAGCCAGAGAGTAACACAAGTAAGTCAAAAAGTAGTCATTTATTTTCCATTTTGTCAGTGTCGGCAATTAAGCACCTTTATTGTAATAACAGAAGTGTATTTTTGGCTATTGCTGTTCCTTTTAAATAGTGCATTTCAGATAACATGGTGATTATTTTATTTTATTTTTTCTGTTGGTTTAGCAATACTAAGATGCAGAAAACCCTACAAAAAGGTATGTTTTCATGTTATTGTTGTTGATGATTTTTTAAATTTATTTTTTTGCTCTATGTAATGTGTTGTCTTACAAATAAAAACATTTATTTGTATTTTTTGTTCTTAGTTGGTTCCATGTGGACGATGCCGGGCTTGCCAAAATACAGTGGACTGTGGAAAATGTGTTAGTTGCAGAAATGGTCGGCTACGCCTTCGACACAATATCCACTCTCGTAAAGTCGTTAAATGTCGCAAACGGAAGTGTTTGCGCCCCATGCGCCCCAGGGACAGAGTTGTAAAGGTAATTTTTATTTATTTTCAGCCATATTTATTTTCTATGTTATGTAAGGAAATTTGTGTAAGAATATAAAGAATCTAGAATATAATCTAAACTGTTACAATGTTCTAAATATACAGTGGCCTCAGAAAGTGTTTGAACCCTTGGGCACACTTGCAGTGTATGAATGCCACTGAAGTGGATGATAAAATATAAAACTAAGCGCATTTAGGTTGATTTATGATCTGTTTTATTGTTTTGTTACTGCCCCCCACTGGTGTCTTTTTACATTGTACTTTGTATACAGTATTGTTCTTAATTGTTTAAAAGTTTGGGTAGGTAAGATTTTTTTTTTTAATGTTTTAAGTCTTTTAATGCTCATCAAGACCAGAATTTTATGCTCATTTATTTGACCAAAAATACAGTAAAAACGGCAATATTGTGAACTATTATTGTAATTTAAAATAAGTTAACTACTTTAATATATTTTAAAATGTAATTTATTCCTGTGATGGCAAAGCTGAATTTTCAGCATCATTACTCCAGTCTTCAGAGTCACATTATCCTTCAGAAATTATTCTGATATGCTGATTTGGTCCTCTGGTAATATTTTTATTATCATCATCATGTTAAAAACATTTTTGTGTCAATACGCCAATAGCCTAGTGGGCAGTGTGCGACATATAGTGCCGTTGCGCTCCGGGCGTCCCGAGTTCGAGTCCCGGCTCGTGGACCTTTCCCGATCCCGCCCCCCTCTCTCTCTCCTACTTCGCTTCCTGTCACTGCTATACTGTCCAATCAAACTAAAAATACCAAAAATAAATCTTTAAAAAAAAAAAAAACCTTTTTGTGGAAACCATGACATTTTTTCTTTGGTAAATAGAAAGTTTAAAAGAACAGCATTTATTTGACATGGGAATCTTTTGATACAATAGAAATGTCTTTGTCACTTTTGATCAATTTAATGGATCCTTGCTTAAATTTTTTATTTTTATTTCTTTAAAAAAAGGGGAAAAAAATCTTACTGACCTCAAACCTTTGAACAGTAACTTTCTGAGTTACTGTTAATGTCTAATGATCATAAAAGTTACTTTTTAATCTTTACTCATCTTTATCTAATCCACAGACATCAGAGTGGCAGTTTTCCAAGAAGGCTGGATCGATAAGCACCGCGTCAAATATTTTACAGGTGAGAATAAAATTCTTTAAACTACACTGTTCTTTCCACACAGTGCTTCATTATGCTCATAAAACATTTTAATCATTTAGTCTCCCTCTTCTTTTATTTCTCAGCCCTCGGTCTCAGATGATTTTGAGGAATCACAGGTAACAGTCTTATAAATAATCTCTCAAAGTAATCCGAGGGATTGCTATAGAACAACTATATCTAAATGTTGTTTTCCTGTAAGCAGAGCTCCTATCTGCAGTACAGTGACTCAGAGGATCTGTCAATGTTCTTTGGGGGTAATGATGGTGACAGTGGCCTGGATGAGGTAGAGTTCTAGCTAGCCAATTAAATACACTGCATCATTACACAGCAGTAGCATGATCCAAGTGCCTTGATTACAGATATTCACATTGTTTGAAGAGATTCACAAAGTATTTGTTCTCTTCTTAGTTGGGATACATTGCATTTTAAAGAAACTGTCATGCTACAGGCTTAAGCTGCAAATATTTAATCAGAGACATAGTGTCCTTAATACTCTTCAAATAGTGATTTTTGTTCTCTTGATTTGCAGATGGGTGTACCAAAGGTACGTCGTCGTTCATGTGGGAAGTGTAAAGGCTGCGTTCGCCGTACAGACTGTGGAACCTGTGATTTTTGCATGGACAAACCCAAGTTTGGAGGCAGAAATAAAAAAAGACAGAAATGCCGTCTACGACAGTGCCAAAGAGAGGCTATGGTGGGCTTCCAAAATATAATTTCAACTGTATTATTTGAACTTGTTTTTTTTGTTTTTTTATGAATTACAATATTGTTGCATGGTGCGTTATTTTGAAACCTTTAGTTGTCTACTAGATCTAGGATTATTTTCTCTCTTTTTTTTTTTTGGTTCATATAATAATACTCATTTATATGTATTATATAACATGTTTGTTATTACAATTATTTTTAACTGATTCATTGTCAATGACTTTTATAAGCTTGTTCTTTCTAATTAATCTAACCAAAAAAATAGTACGGTTACTTTGTGTATTTTGGTAATGTGTATGAATAATGTAGTTTAGTGGAATCGGAACAGTTAAATCCCTCATGATTGATTAAGATTGTGCAAAAAGAAATTATAATCTTGTCTCAATGTTTGTGTTTAACAGAAGCATTTGCTGCCCATGGATGAGGCGGAGATGTTTTTTTCTCAGGGCTGGGTTACACGCGGAAGGCCACGTTACACATATGGACGTAGTAGACCCAGGTCCAAAAAGTTGTGGGATTTCGAGGTTTCAGATAATGAGGCTGAAGCGTATGTGCCAAAGGCTTCCTCAGGTGTTGCCCAGGTGGTGAATCGGGACAGGCTCCTTCATCCCAATTACAATGGAAAGGTATTCAAGTGGATTCCTTAAAGGATGTTTTACCTTTTCTTGTTAGCTTTCAGTAATTTTTTTTCCTGGGTTTTATTCTTGTTGATTTAGGCTTATGGTTATACTGATGTTGCTAACAGTTATTTGATGAACAACATCCCACTCTACAATCCACGAAAAGTTGGGGTATGTTCTCACCATAAAAATTAATATAATGCCCATATAATATTAATCAAGTCATGATGATTCCAAAAATGAATCCCAGAGCAATTTTCCCTAGTCATACATAAACTTATTTGGTTGCCAGAATGTGTTTGTTGCATTTTCTTATTAGTTGAACAGAGCTATCTAAATATGTTCATATCTCGTTTGTGTCATCCCTGTGTCTTGAGAAGATGAGCCCTCAGCTGCACATAGGACGGGTGGAGATGATCAAAGAAAATAGGCTTCAAGGCAGTGGCATGAGCAGCAGAGCCCTTCTGTCTGCGGTAAGCTCCTTATGCTTCTCTGTCTTAAGCTTGAACAAATAAAAACAAACAAAGATTAGCAAGTGGGAAATAAAACCTAAGTTCATATGAGGGGCTGTCTTACCTTAGGTTGGATGGTGAAAGAATTAGAAATAAATTCAGGATTGTACCTACCAATCAGTGTTTGTTCTAAACAGTGTGCATGCATAGTTGTACGTTTCTGATGTTATTCCCATGCAGAGAGGAAAAAATAAGGTGGCGAAGGCAGACTGTCGTCTTCAAAGCTGAATGAGTAGGCAGTGTTTCAGTAATTATATTGAGTTTTGGTTGTCTTGACAATAAAATAAAAGTATCTTGAGAAAACAAGTCCGAAAATAACAGTAATGCATGGCCTTTAGATAATGTATTAAATTAAATAACTAAATATTTGACATATATAAAAATAAATAACTTTTTTTAAAGAAATTAATACTTTTATTCAGCAAGGATGCAATAAATTGATCAAAAGTGACAGTAAATATATTTACAATGTTACAAAAGATCTCTATTTCAAACAAATTATATTCTTTTGAACTTTCTACTTAAAGATCATGTGACACTGAAGACTGGAGTAATGGCTGCTGAAAATTCAGTTTGCCACCACAGGAGTTATTTTTCAAAGTTATTTTAAATTGTAAATTTATATATATATATATATACACACACAGTGGTGTGAAAAAGTGTTGGCCCCCTTCCTG